AAACCTCGTGGTCGTTCCAAAACCCTAAGGCAAATGATGAAGAGGAAACCTTTTTTTTTTTTTTTTCCTCCCCCTACCTGCAGTTTTTTGCGGTTTCTGTGTCCTTAGCGCCCTCGTATACTGGCACACTCTGCTGCGCGCAATTCCCCAAGAAAGGTAAGGAGGGGGCGGGGAGGGGGCGGGGAGGGGGGGGGGGGAGGAGGAGGGAGCAGAGAAATGGCGTGCGTGATCAGTTTAATACTAGTAATATATGTAATAACTTGTTAAAAAAAAAAGAATTTTCGCGAATGAATGACTGACAACGGAAGCTCCTGCCGTCTTCCCCCGAACGCAACGCACCCCAAAAATGATTGGTCATGCATGTATCAAAGCTATCTTTCCGTTCCGATACCGTCATCAAGAGAGTGTTATGTTCGGCGGGGGAATATAGCTTGGCCCCAACAAGGTAGTTTGGCGGCAAGATCGGCAGATCGAGACGACCACCTTCTCTCTCTCACCCATCTTCTTCTTTGCTCACCTTTTCTCTTCTTGCGCCTCTTGCAAACAATTATTGGCAATTACAGTAATTACTTAATTCATTAATTAATCAATTAATCAAGTCATTAATCAATTAATCAAGTCATTAATTAATTACGACATGCTGGAAGTAATTTGACTACTTTCGCCATCGCGATGGCCTACTTACGGTTCTCAAGTGGGAGGAGCGGGGCATCGAATTGCACATTGAATCTGACGATCTGATCTCGATCCCGACGGCGATCTCGCGCGCAACGAAGGCAAATTATAAGCGTTCACAAGCGATCGCTCCCTTGTGAGTGCATTGCATGACAAACGCCAATTAATTCGACAAAGAAGAAATCAGCTCCTCCTCCTCCTCCTCTGAAGAAGAAGAAGAAGAAGAAGAAGAAGAAGAAGAAGCCAAGGAAGCTATAGCAAGAGGAGTAACCAAGCAGCAGCAGCAGCAGCAACAGCAGCGGAAGAAGAAGAATTGAATTGAAATAGCGAGGCCAACCGCTATGTGTCCATGCTCAATGATGGAAAGAGTACATCTCCTACACGGACTTGCATGCTCAACGCGCAGAAGAAGAAGATATTCTGGGTGTCGGCGCCTTCAAAGAAGAAGAGGAGGAGGAGCAGCAGGAAGAAGAAGAAGAAGAAGAAGAAGAAGAAGAAGAAGAAGAAGAAGAAGAAAAAGAAGAAGATGAGGAAGAAGAAGAAGAAGAAGAAGAAGAAGAAGAAGAATTGAATTGAATTGAAACTTGCTCCAGACAACAATCTGTCCGTCCGCACCGATCCAAGGATCGAACACGTGACCTCCACGTCAAGAGGCAAACACTCAACCAAACGGCTAAGAAGAAGAAGAAGAAGAAGAAGAAGAAAAAGAAGCAACGTGCAACGAACGATGTTGTGTAGGAGTGTAAGAATGAAGAGAGGGAGCAAGCACCATAGACGATGCAATGGACGAATCGAGCTCTACGACGGGGCATTCCATTCGTCTCTTCTATTTTTGTTTTCTTCCTTTTCCTGCTGCCTTCTGCCCCAACCTTCTCGTCATGTGTATCTCTTCTGTTTGTGCTTCTCCTCCCTCCCTTCCCCCCTTCTCCCCCCCTTCCCCTCTCTTCCCCCCTCTTCCCCTCTCTCCCTCCTCAACCTCTCTTGGTATGTCTCTCCACTTCCCCCCCTCTGTCTCAGTCACGCTTTTTCGTATCTATTTATTTATTTACTTATTTATTTAAATAAAACTCCAGGTTGTCGTAGAAGTCGGGTACTAGACATATGACAGTCACCGTCGCTCTTTCTTTGGGCGTCGCTCCGTCAGACAACACAGTACTCGAATTTGGACGCTTTGGAGACCAGGAACATTCAGAACGTTGGACTCTTCGGGATGCACTTGGTCCTGAATGCGTCCACATGCATGTAGAGTGATGTGCAGTGGAGCGAGGCCCTTTGTCTGCGTATTTCCTTCTCTTTCTCTTATGCTGGATTCTCTAATTCATTCCTCAAAAAAAAAAAAAAAAAATTTGCTCCCGGGTTGAGATGTGGAGGGATTCCCTGCCTCCTTTTTCTATTATATGAAATAAAAACACTCTTGAAAAATAAATAAATAAATAAATAAATAAATAAATAAAATCCTTCCTCCACTTGCGGAATTTGATTCCACTGGACGGAGTGGAAACTGGCAGGCTCCCTGCCCATCCGTTTCCACTCGAGCTTCCTGTTTCCACTCAAGCTGCCCGTTTCCACTCAGCTGGTCAGATCCGTCCACGTGGCGCATCTCATTGCCAACGATCGGCT